GCTTGCGTGTGAAAAGTGCTTTTCCCTTTTCTATTAAACAAAAAACACTTATTTTACCAAACACTACCAACTTTTACTTTTCAAAATCACTTTTTTCTCAAACACTATCAACTTTTACTACCAATCACTTTTTCCTTACTTCTCCAAAAGTGCTTTTTTTTAAGCAGAAGCAGTTGCAAACACTCTCTTAGTTTGACTTCTATTTCTTTCAGTTCTGAGTCATTAACTTCAATCAGCAGTTAATCAAGTGAATGTCAAATTGACACCAACAAATTAGTGTAATCAAGTGAAAAAGCATGAAAGCATTTAGCCACAAACCAGACTCATCAAATACGGAGTATATCCTATCAAAAAACGATCCTATTTTTCTCTCTATCTAATTTAACTTGCTGCACATTCGATATTTTAAAAACTTCGTAAATTTGTTGAAGTATCTGAAGCTGCTCTGCTTTATTACTTAGTGACTATAAGTTGTTAAACGCAAAATTAGTTCCTACATAGCAATGTTATATTTATCTTACCTTTTGTCTTCAGCAATCAAACCCTAAAGGCAGAAAAAAAAGCAGCTAATTACCCTACCAGAAAAGAACATGTACTTATTTGTCCTTCAAGTATTGTTTTTAGAAGTAGTAAAAATGTGGTCTCTACACAACTAATAATTATAGTTTAATTTGGAAAATAGTTTCAAGCAATGTGTTCATCAATATGTTAATATCAAGGAATTGAAATTTGTGTGACTTTTTTTGAAGTTTATTTTTCTATTCTTCTGCAAAATGCAAAGCAAAAATAAAAACCGGCCTGGAACAAACCTTTTTTAGAGAACTTCCTTTGACAATTGTACTAATTTCTTTCACCTTCGACAAGTATGAAAGTCTTTAGTCACAAAGCTCAAATTCTCATTCCACTTTTAAAACAGAACCTGATTTTCCTATTGTTAGTTTTAAAACCAATTATAGTTCATACCTCTTTTCAACGAGAGATGTGGACATGCCTGTTTTCAAAAAATAAAATTGCATGATTCTAGCGCTTCAAGTGAAATTATAGTTGATACTCATTGTTCAAGCTAAGGGAAAATAAAACTGATCACATATTTCAGTTAGAGTTAGTAGTATTTAAATGATGTTTTTAGAAACAATTATTACTTTAAGAAGATTATACGCCCAATAGGCAATATACATTAAAAAATTGGTAGATTTAAGACAGCTTTTCAAGAAAAACTTCCATTTTCAAGAGTATACCACCACATTCAAGTGAAAATATAGTTGAGACATCTTTGGAGAATCTTCAATGCTACAATGTGCACGGTGCACATGTGGCACAAGAGATAGTCACATAAATATTAGCAAATACATAATCTCTCTCCTTATTTGAATGATTTTGTACAACTTTGGTAAATTTTTCTCTGTCATCTCTCATGTCACATGTGCTGTGTGCACATTGTAACATTAGAGATGCTATTATAAGTGAAACAATTATTGATTCTATAATTTTACTAACAAAGTATATACTACGTATTATTTATTTATTGACCATATGTACATAGAAATGTTGATCTTACAATTAACAATATCAACGCAATTAATTTTTACCGATGAGTAGTCTTCCGGTCAGGTATACCTGACCGGAGCCCCGTCCGGCCTCCTCCATTTGGGGGCCTTCCCGGTGGTATTTTTTGCTCAACTTTTTTGTGTAGGTTCCTCATCAAGTCTAGTTCATCCATACCAAATTTCAGCCAAATATTCAATCGGGAAGGTCGTCAAATGATTTTTGCAAGTTAACTGGTCCGGAAAATACATATTCCGGACCAGTTAACTTGCAAAAATCATTTGACGACCTTCCCGATTGAATTTTTGGCTGAAATTTGGTATGGACAAACTAGACTTGATGAGGAACCTACACAAAAAATTTGAGCAAAAAATACCATCGGGAAGGCCTCCAAATGGAGGAGGCCGGACGGGGGGAGTGGTCCGGCCTGGCCGGACCTGTAACTGATGTAAGTGAACAAGACAATATTTTACTTGCCATATAAGGAAGTGGTCCAGCCCAGTTGGTCGCCAACTCACTCTCCCTTACAGGAGGTCCCGGGTTCAATTCTCAATGGAGTGAGATTGATCTCAGTTTACCCTAGGCCCCCCAAATCCCCTCCCCATGACGCCCCCTAGAAATAAAAAAAAATTACTTACCATATGTGTGTGTGAATACCGGAGAAGTAACAATTAGAAAAACAATGGGCCGATTTCTCAACCAAAGTGTAAAAAGCATCACTGGGAACTATCCAAAAAGCTAGCCGGGTTGTGACGACTCATATTAGCTCCAAACACATACGAAATCAGAAATTGATCCATGAAATACCCACAAGTTCTCTCTAAGGCTTCTTTGGTTGGAGGGTTTCGAAAGGGAGAGAAGAAAAGTGAGTGATTTGTGTGTGTTTGGTTGAAGGAAATTGGGAGAGAAGGAAAGTGGAAGACTTTCAAAATCCTCCACTTCCTCCCATTCTAAACCCCCCAAATTGAAGTATTTTGGAGGAAACGTTTTGATAATCGCAAACTATTCATCTCCTATGTGAATGGACAAAACATTACGTAGTATAATATAAAAAGGTAAAAAAATCTGAAAATTTAAAAATTAAAAGATTAAAAAATTTAAAAGTTAAAAAAATTAAAAATTAAAAAAGTTAAAAATTCTAAAAATAAAATTCAAAAATTATAAAATGGAAACTTCTAAAATAAAAATTAACAAATAAAAATTATTAAATAAAATTACTCCGTATTAAATTAAAAAATTAAAAAATCAAAAAATCAAAAAACAAAATATTCTGACTCATGACCTTAGCAGTAATATTTATACTACCTCCGTCCCATTTTAGGTGTCTTAGCTTGACTTGACGCGATTATTAATGAAGTGATTGAAAAAGTAAAAGTTGTGGTTGAGGTTTGAGTATAATAAAGTGAATTGGTATATGCCACATATTTCTTTCCCAAAAAGGAAAGTGGACACTTATTTTGGGACATCCCAAAAAGGAAAGTAGGACAGGTAAAATGGGACGGGGGGAGTAATATTTAGAGATGTATCTATTTTTTTAAGTAAGCTATCAAAATAAACGTAAATTGGGAAAATATTTTCATTAAACCTTTCCTCCTATTTCCTTCAACCAAACACAAATTTTTATCAAAATCCTTCCTTCTCCTTGCCTTTCCTTCCCTCCTTAACCCTTCCCTTCCCTCCCCTCCTTTTAACCAAACAAGGCCTAAAAGAGTGCATCGTGTTGTGCTGTTTTATTCACTAAACCTAAAAGGAAATCACCAATAATAATATCAGTGATTGAATGCAAATACGATCTCAAAAGAAAAAATTTGGAGAAAAGGAATGAACTCAATGAAGTGACATGTATAAATACGATCTCAAAAACCATTACATAATTTACATGTATAGAGTAATTTGAGCCAACTGCCAAGGAAGGCTCGTGCACATGTAAATCACGCAATGAAACCATAATGCAGAAAGCTGGGCTAAATGCATAAATGGTATCGCAACTACATTTTGATACTTTAACTCTTAAATGAATTAAAACGGTACCTTAACCATACATAAATGTTTCGGATTAAGATTTTATTCAAATTTCTGACCAAAAAATTACATGTGGCGATAAGAATTCTATGCGTAAAGTCTACTTCACCTTATTTTTGTCCATATGATCATTATATGGTGATTCTACACATGAAATTTTGATCGTCATGAATGACTTTTTTGTTAAAAAATTGAATAAAATCTCAATTTAAAACATTTATGTGTAATTAAGGAACCTTTTTTATTCATTTAAGAGTTAAGGTACCAAAATGTAATATTACCAATAATTGAAGTACTATTTATGCATTTGACCCGCCGAAAGCTAGAGCCCAATTTTTTTTATGACGACCTTGCTTTTGTGGAATGGAAATAAAAAATATCACCTTTGGTCTGTCTTTTGAGGGAAATGTACATATAAAAAGATTCAAAGAGGCTGAGGAAATGGGTTGCGGAATCGTCGTGGCTGCAGGCCTGCAGCAACCAGTTCCATTTTTTTTGCTGCCCGCAAGGATATGGGCAGTGTCCTCCTAATTCTTCAAAATTAGTAAACCCAGAGAGAGGGAAAACAGAAAATGATATCATCACAGATTCACAGCCGCTTCACAGCTCTCACAATGAGCAGGATGCAGGGAGTAATAAATTAACCTTCATTTGAGGAATTTAGGTATGATTGACGATGGAATTTCTAAGGCGGAAGAAATGGAAGCAAATCCGGAAAACTGATGAATATGCAGAAGTAGCATAAAATCCAATTGAGTATACATTAATCCGACTAATATATATACAGAAAGTATACACAAAGAGATTAAGAGAAGAAGAAAAGAAGTAGAGCATATAGGGCATAGAGCATGCACAAAGAGGAATAAAGCATGCAGTCAACCAGAAAGAATCACAGGAAAAATACAAAGTGATTAAGAGAAGAAGAAAAAAAGGGCAAGGAAGCACAAGGAGGAAAAAGATGAGCAGAAAACAACCTTAGACATACCTGCAATGTTGTGCAGAAGAGAGGAGTGGAAGATTTCAATGCCTCCAGAAGCGCGAAATCGGCCTCTGCTACGATTTTTCAATTGCCTCGGTGCGCATTGCGCCTCGTCACGCCCCAGGCGCACATTTTAGAACTAAACTCTCAATTAGGTAGTATGAATGTAGATGATTATTATAACAGTTAATTAGAGTTAACTCCCCACCACTCATAAAACATCCAAATATCCAATGGCCAGTTACATTATATCCAGCATACAGAGACAGTACTCATCACAAGAACCAGAAAACTCAAATATTCTTGACTAGTAAGTTTACAAGTTGTAGATTAACATAATGCCCAAACTCAAACTTTTAAATCAAAATAAAACAATAATAAGATCTACTGTTGAATCAATTTGTGATTTTTTGAAGTAAATCACACGTCACTTCTTAATTTATGGGGTTAGGAAACAGTTAGTAACAGTACTAATTAATTATTATAAAATTTACTCGACCACCCCATTAGCAACATCCAAAGTATCCAACAACCATTTTACATCATATCCAAGCAAAAATACACAACCCTCCTCATTACAATAATAAAAAAAGTCAATTATTCATTACTCAAAAGTCTATAAATTTTACATAACATCATGATGAAACTCAAACTTATAAATGGAAATCAAATAACAACGACTTCTACTTTGGAATCGACATTGTGTTTTTGAAGTAAATCACATGTCACCTCTCGATTTAGGTTCTTAGGAAACACTTTGCCATATTTCCATTTGTCAAGTCCATAATATTCTCGTCTATGAAAATTGATAAGCATCCGCTCTAGGGCAACAGCACTATCAAGTAAATAAACAGCTAACTCCATACAATTAATTCGGTCTGAAAACCCACATATCTCGACTTCTTTAAGGTGAAAATGGATGCATTTATTATCAAATACTCCACTCGTTTTAGTTTTCCGGTTATGATTAGGACATACCTGCAAAAAAATTAGATAATAATCAATAAAAGATTGATGAACTCATGAATGATTTAGACAAAATACATAATTTTGCCAAGCCATTCCATACCGGTCAAATAATAAAATACAAACCAAATCATCAAATAAGTGCTCCTACAATGCTGACTTTAAGAATAAACCCCAAATCATACTAAATTTTTATGAAACACCAAATACTCATGAAAGAGTATGTTTCCATTTCAGGAAGTCTCCGGTGAATCTTTGGAAACTGTCCGAATAGTTGTTTTCTATTAAATAATGGCTTTTCCTGTTTCACATTATCCCATGATTTCCACATTTTCGTGCAACATAGACTAAATTCCATATCTAAACTTTATTCAATTGTCTTCCGCTTTCATCAAAAGAGAAATGATCTAAGCAATGAGTTCCATCTTGAGATAAACAATCACATTTTGCAAGAGCATATTGTGCATTCATGTAAAACAAACCAAAGAGAGCATCTTTTAAGTGGATGAAATCATGCAGAAAAAAGAAACAACGGACTTACAGAGAGAAGGAACTTCTGCAGGACAGGAGAAGCATTAAGAATGTGTACAATAGTGAAAAGATCATAATTTGGTGATATAATAATAAACAACTCCAAATTCTTCAGAAATTTGAATGGAGTCCTGCTGGCAGGCATGGGAGGTTCCTAGGGCACCAAAAATTAAATCAAAAGCCAGCCATTATTTTCCCCAATGTTTAAGATAGTACTACTTCTGTCCCAAAGTTTTCTTCCAAGTTTTACTTTAAAAGCTTATAAAGTGTAGTTACATGATTGTGGTTGATATAAATCTATATGAACAGCATCCATCATGCAACATTTTCTATTTAGGAAAAAAATATTAAAATTTTGAGTCATATTAAAAAGAAAACAAGGGAAGTAGTTTTCAATATACACACCTCCAAGGGAGCTAAAAACAACGAGAGAGTTTGTAGGTGTGAGACATCTTCTGCAAGTCGATTGCAAACATAACTTGTGCCCACAAATGAATAATTCATGAACCTAAAATACATTTTATCAAGAGATGGAAGACCAAGGAGGGTGAACTTCTTTTCTGGACCCATGTATTCAAATGTAGTAAGCTCCGGTAGAGAATTGAGCGCAATAAGGCCATAATCATGGCAATCTTCAATAATCAATCGTTTTAGACGGCTTAATGCACCGGTTATGCAACAAGTCTCAGGCACATAGCACCGATGGATTCTCAGAAACTCAAGGTTCACACAACCAGAAAGGATACTATCTAAAGTAACTTGATTTATGCGTGTGTGACCAATGTAGAGAGTCACTAAAGAATTAAACTTTATTGCATAATTGGGCACACAGGATAATTCACATAATTTGAGGGATAGATGCTTCAATGGAGATGTTTTGCCATCAGGCAGAAGATGCAAAGGAAAAGTGTAGTAGGAACAAACACTATTGGAGCGAGGTCCACAGTCAATTTTAAGTTGGTTGGCCTCTTGCTGCACAGCAAAACGTATCCACTCATCAACATTGGAAGCGGAATCATCGTCCAGTGGAAAAGTAACCTCAAAAGTGTCTAATTTCGGCCCCGTATATAACTTCAAAATTTGAGTCACAGCTGTGATAAATTTAGATTTATGTTTGGGAATTATCTTCCTGTAATTGAGCGCCAAGAACCCATCGAAATAAATTCCAAGAATCGACAGATAATCAAGTTGAAGATGGGGTGTGGACGGGGATAACCCTTTCCACCGGTGAGACAATAACCGCATCCTAACTGCTTCTTTTAGGCTCAAAAACGAGAGAATCAGACCAAGAATATCATCTGACAATTGACTAATACGATCATCCTCTAAGTTGGAGCTTTCCTGGATAATCACCATACCTGGCCGGGCTGCCTTCCTTCAGACTGAGAAAAAATTAATACGTCCGGAGGTAGACTATAAGAATTGGGAGGTTTCTGTTAAGACGCCAATGGATCTTTATAAGGAATATATTTCCTATTTGGGATTTCTGATCGGCCGATAGTATAAGGAATAATACATGTAGGGCGGTGCACGGGTCGGGTTCGGGCGGGTCGGGTTCGGGAACCCTAAACCCGTTCGGGTTTTTTAATTTAAATACTAGGCCCGACCCTTTGATATTCGGATCGGGTATTTCGGATATTTTTAAGTCGGATATTATCGGATATCGGGTCGGGTTTCGGATATTTCGGTTATATTAAAAAAATATATAATTGAATAATTAAAGTGCTTAAATTCCACTTTGACAAAAATTGTACACACTAGTGCACTAAACATCCAAATTACACAAATAGTTTAACACAAATTGCACAAATAATTACACAAATAATTGAACACAAGTATTAATTTAACATATTCAAAGTACACACTACATAATTTAATATATTTCGGATATTTCGGTTATATTAAAACACATTATAATTGGATAATTAAAGTGTTGGAATGCCACTTTGACAAAAATTATACACACTAGTGCACTACACATTCAATTTACACAAATAATTTAATACAAATTGCACAATATAATTAGATTAATTACACAAATAATTGGATGCAAGTATTAATTTACCATATTCAAAGTACACACTAACATATATTTCGGATATTCGGGCGGGTCGGGTTGGGATTTTACAAACCCTACCCGCCACCCGATCTAGGCCCAATATTAATCGGATTTTTGGTTTCGGGTTTTTCGGGTCGGATATCCATTTCGGTTCGGATAATATCCGAAAAAAATATCGGGTTTTTCGGGTCGGATCGGGTTTTGCTCAGCCCTAAATACATGGACCGTCAGCGGACAGTTCAATTAGGATTCTGCTTTCCTGATTTCCTTTTTATACATGGACTGGGTTTCCTTTTTATACATGGACTGATGGATAATTATGTCCAAACATTCCACCTCGTATTCCATCCCCAAAAATTATTCCCGGTTTGACTTGGATGGAAGTTTAAAAAGGTGAGAATAAAGTGGAAATCAGGGCCGTCTTTTAGGAGGTGCTTAGCACCGCGGCCTACTCTTGTAGAGGGTCTCCAAAAATTTAGAAGGTAGTATTAATTATAGGTTGTTTTTGCAGATGTCATGTATTATTCAAGATTTCAAAAGGTATACAACTTTTAAATTCTCTAATTTATGGACTTTAAATATCATAAAACTTATATTTCATTAAATTGTCTAAACTATTTGTATTCCATTGTTAAAATTTGTATTTTTTTTTTCTTGTCTTATGGGACTCAATTTGCCATTTCGAATCAGGACCTCCAAATTCATTAGACTGCCTTGATGGAAATGTATAATTGTGGTTGAATAAGAAAAATGTAAATGGATGATAGTCACACAAACCTTTCCAAAAAGGGAAATGTGAAAAAAAAAAAAAATTGGACGAAGCCCGAAGGTAGTATTTTTTTAACTTGGTTTTAAAACCAAAGAATAGTTTTTACCCCAAATAGGAGTAAAAGTCGTGTAAAAATCTAAAATATGATTCTTTATGTTTTTATTCTAAAATAGGACCATATTAGTCCTATTTGGAAACATGCTTATATTTCCCTTCCCTTTTTATCTCTGGTATCTTATACGCCTAACACTTTAATATTTCCTTTTTTTTATTTTTTTTATTTTTCTCCCGTTAGTTATCTTTTACTCGCCCCCGCCTTCTTTCTTCTTCATTCGTCTCTGTCTCTTTTATTGGGTTCGATAAGCTCTGCAACTCAACAAACTCAACGTCAAATTGTTCGATCATCTCTGCAACTCAACAAACTCAACGTCAATCCGTTTGATCAGCTTTGCAACTCAATTGGCGATTATACTGGCCAGTATGTGAAATTCAATTTGGTGATTTTTTATATGCAAGTTCACGTTCAGAATCATTGCCTTTTATTTTGTTTTTATTAAATTTCATATTGTAATGGTTATTATTATATCTACTAGATTTTTCACCCATGCTTCGCACGAGATGCAGTTAGTAAACAATATATTATTTGGAATATATAAAAATGTTGTGATGGAGATATACCAATGCATATATTGTTTTTGACAAAAGTAAATAATGATTTTTTAGGGGCAAAAACTACAAATTATTATATACTCCCTTGTAAACAACATCTTGTTGGCCAGTTTTCTGTCACCATCACATGTAATAAACTATAACTCAAACGATAAATTTACTCTTGAGACAATGATGTAAAGTTGTTTATGGGTGAAAACTGGGCAATGTAAGGACACATCAACTCTCTCCAAAGATTGTCTCTGACTCTTGTTAATGGTCTCGAACTGTCTACATTAAAATGTGAACAATAGTTTTAGGTCAGATGGATTAAAGTTAATCTTCGGAATAAGAAACTTTTGTCTTACATTTGTTCCCTGAGCCTCAAAGATATGAGTTTAAGTTTAGTGACGATGAGGTGAGGGTCATTACACAATCCATCAGAATGACTGATATTCCTCATTAGCATCACTGGTGCACCCATTTAAAGTTTCAGCTCATGTCTTGGCAGTTGGCACACCAAAACATTTAATACTATTGGGTAATTCTGGAGAATGAATCTCTTTAAGGAGTGTACCGTTTGAGTAAGAAGAAGATGTTGAATCCGAACTCAAGTATGTCTTTATCTCACCAGGAGTTAACCCCAGCATGTAATCGTTGATCTTGTCGCATTCATAAATGGTTTACACAAGAATTGCCCTGAAATTCAAATATATATAGAATGTCTTTATAGTGCATTTAGAAATCGGGATAGGTGATCTAAACAATAGCGTTAATAGGACCATTTGTCGTAGGAGCAATAAAATCTTTAGGGATTTCAACCATTGATTTCTATTATTTTTTGACTTCTATTTTCGATTTAAAAAAACTGTATACTACACCAAAAAATGTTATCCTAAAAAGTAGTAAATAGATATAGAGAAACACAATGAGTAATATGTTATGAGTTCAGATCAATACAAAGTATAACAGTATAATTGGGATTTGGAAAATTGTCCATAATAAGAGTAAAAATATTTGTGTACTCCAAAATATGACTATCATATTTTTATTCCCTTAATCGGAGTAACTAATGTCATGGTTTGGCAGTACCATATTTTGACAGTACCATACTTTAAACAAGGCAATAAATACTCATATTTAAGGAATAAAAACATGAGAGTCCTATTTTGAATTCTCAAATGTTTTTACTTCTATTTCAAGAATTTTCTTTTGGAGTATTTTTTAATTGGATTTTAGTGTTCTAGTCTGATATAGTAGTAATTAATTTGTTTAATTTAAAAACATAAATAAAGAAAAAAATCTAATTTGTAAGAACTTTTTTTATTTTTTTATTTTAAAATAAAAATAGAACATTTAGCACAATTACGTAGAACGTATTTTAAAATAAAAATTAAGAGAAATAAACTTAGAATAATTTTTTAAAAAAATGTGAAAAACTAATTGATGGAGTATATGGCCCAGGAACCCCCGGCCCATAGACCCCTACTTCTCCTACACAAGTCCATTGAGCCCAGAGAACATCTCAGGCCCAAATACAACGGCCCAAGCCCCAAAGTAGCCCAGAATACACGCTGGGGTACCTTCGGCCTCCTTGGCCGAAGGCTCCAAAACTCACAGGATAGCCTTCTCTGGCATAAGAAGCCGCTGGGAGAAAACGGGCGAAGACATGAGCCTTCGGCACTCTCATGCCCTCGGCACCAAGGGAAGCCTTCGGCTGAACCAAGCCTTCGGCTGCACAAGAAGCCTTCGGCTGCACAAGAAGCCTTCGACTGCACAAAGAACCCCCGGCTGCACAAGGAGCCCTCGGCTGCACAAGGAGCCCTCGGCTGAACAAGGAACCCTCGGCTGAACAAACTCAATCATCAAGATTCCTTTTAGAGACAGCCAACCACCGCATTTAATGCCACGTCACATCCGCCAACCGCATTCAATGCGGTTGACGTACCACTGCCGGTGCCACCAGGCTGATGTGACCCTTCGGCCGTTGGATTACTGACACGTGTCCTCTCATCGCATTTATTGCTGCTATAAATAGCAGCCCTTATTCTCCTTGTAAACCACGCTGAGTTCATTTAATAAAATCGACTCTCTCTCTCCTCCTATTTACTCTGACTTCTCTCTAGTTATTCCCACAATAACCCCTCGGATAAGATACCCCCCGGGTAGACTATCCATCATTTGGTGCTCTCGTTGAGAGGTCTGAACTATCAAGTAAGAAACCCTCCCCCTCCACCAAACACAAACCCTTACCAAAAATGGGAAGAACCACCCGTGCCCAATCCAAGACCCTTGAGGAAAACTACGTAGCCCCCGGCGAAACTAACGGGGCTGAGGCCTCCAACAGGCTCTTAGTACCCGAGGGTGGTGTCATCCTCGAATTAGAGCAAGCCACCGCTGACCTACGTCAGCAGCTGCAGAAGAACACCCCCGATGCCCGCATTGGCCTTGATAATCGAAGGAGGGATCGGAGTGAGAACCAAGTTCCTCCTCCGGCCTCGGCCATCGATCTTCAGGCTGCCTTTGCGGCCTTTGTTCAAAACATGGCTCTCAATTCCGGAGCCCTCGCCTCTCAGGCACCCCTCCAGCCCTACGCTGGGGGGAATGTCATTCAATTACCACCGCTCCCTCCTCTGTTCACCAATCCTCCCCCGGGGATTGGAAACGTCGAAGGGGTCATGGCACAGGACACCGCCTCCCAAGAGGCCCAATCCAGGGATAAACGTCCCTTGATGAAGGAGAAACCCCGAACCTCTGCACTTGAGAGGCTTGGGGGAGCTCCCATACGCCGAGGGGTCCAAGACCGCCTCGGCAAACAGGAATTCAGCAGGCCTCAGGAGAGCGGAGCCTCCGCTTCGGGTGCCGAGGGCGTGCCTCCCCCCCGGAGCAAAGGCAAAGCCCTCCTCCACGCCGATGACGCCAGGCACCAAATCAATCAGGCGCAATCCTTCCGGGCCAACTCCCAAGGGGTTGCCCCGAAGGATCCCAAGGACGAAATTATCGAGGCCCTCCTCCGCCAACTTGAGGAGAATCGTCAGGCACCGCCGACGGCTTCCACAGCTAGGCCAAATCCGGAGTACGCTGACCTCCGGGCACAGATGGAGGAAATGAAACGTAAACTTGCCGAAGGCTCAGGCGAGCCCCTCATTCAACTCCACACTAGGACCCCCTTCACCCCAAGGGTGTTGGCGGCCAAAATCCCCCACAAATATCGGGGGCAACCCATCAAGCCGTATGAGGGGAAGACGGATCCCCAAGAACACTACAGCCGCTATCAAAATAGTATGATGATGATGGGGGCCTCGGATGAATACTTATGCCGTTGGTTCCTTTCCACCTTGGAAGGACCCGCGTATGAGTGGTTCAACCGGTTGCCCGAGGGCAGCATTGATTCTTGGCAAGAACTTGCCCACCGCTTCCTTACACAATTTGCAGGGAGGCACCGCTCAAAGAAACACTTCTCCCACCTCCTAAACGTGAGACAGCAGAAGGAGGAAACCCTTCGGAGTTTCCTAGAACGCTGGAGGCAGGCCTCCCTCGAGGTCGAAGGTGCTGATGACAGAACCTTGATGGCCCTCTTCCACACCGTCCTCCGCAACGGTAACTTCTCTCGGAGCCTTATCACTGATCCCCCCCGCGATTATACGAAGGCCCTTCAGCGGGGGGACCGATACGCTGAAGCGGAGGAGATCGAGAAGGACCGCCGCAACACGGATCCTTCTCAGAAGAATGAGGGTAGGAATCGGCCCGGACTGCTTTGGGCCTTCTGTTTCCTCCTGGTATCCCCATATTTTGTGCCTGAGATATTGGGCCTGGACCCAATATCCCAACACAAGTCCCCCACTTCCTATGTCTCGAACGGTAGTGAGTGCATAAGGAAGTAGAAGATTGTTGTCTGAATGCTGTTCGGGTATGTATCGCTCGGTATTCTGCCAGTTCCCGAGGCGTATTTTGACGGTTTTACGCGGCTGCCGTTTTGCTTCCCCGATAACCGTCATGATTACTTGGGGAGGATTCTCCGCGTGACACGTGTCCCTGTCATCATTACTGGTGACGTGTACCTTTATGATTGGCTGACGATTCGACGTGACAGAGTATAAAAAGGCTCTAATGGCTCTGAATCTGGATTTCGAAACTTTGCATTCTTCGGCGTGTTGTTCTGTCTTCTCTCTAGGGCTTCATCTGTTGCTTCTGCTCAGGTACCCTTCGAACTCCCTTCTTCTGTTTAGTTCTCTCGTTCGGTGACAACGAGACATGTGTACATGTGTACAACATTCAAAGAAATGGCCGATTTATCTGTTCTCTCATTTCGGATTCAAAAAGTTACATGTGTTCTTGCCATCTCTGCTAAACATTGAGACGGAAAGCAGTGGATCCTCAGCAAACAAAGGAAGAAAGACTATGGAAATTTTTGTTTTGGTGATTTAGCTTCTATAGACTTTCTGTCAGCAAACGAAGGAAGAAGAATTATGGAAACTATGTTTCCATACAAGATACACCGAGTTTCAGCCAAGGAAAGAAAAGACAAAAAACAGGTCAGGAAGATAAGTGTGAAATAATGGGAAAGAGGTACTCCAATAGGAGTCCTGACAGATATATTTATAATAGAGGAGTTGCCAAAATACAAAGTATTCCTAAATAGATATTAGGCAGATTCCTAAATATCTATTAGGTAGATTCCTAATTATATTAGCCTATTACACCCCCTCAAACTGTGCGGGAGATACAACGCGCAGATTGTCTTTTAAAAAAAATGAAATTGCAAACTAAAAAAAACTCTTAGTAAATATATCCGTGAGCGGAAGATTAGAAGGCACATCTTTGACAATAAGATCTCTGATAAGTCCGTATTTTGACACGTATTTGATGCGTGTTGGGATCGGTTTTGATGGTTTTCCCTAGCTTTAAGGTGTTGCAAGTCTCAATTTTAGCTCAAGTTATGTTTATCGGGCATTGGTTCGACTTTTGTGTTGTTTGTAGTCAAAATCAGGGAATTTGAGCCCGGCACCGACACTTGAGGAACAATCGGGATGATTTGAGAAGAATTTGAGAATGATTTTATAGCTTTGGAGGTCACCGGAAGATTCACGATGAAGATTTGAAGGAAAAAAGAGCTCTAGGATTGGCTTCGGGACAAAAGAAGATGAATGAAGCTTGAAAACGACGATCAGAATGACCTTCTGTCAATCGTTCAAGCATATCTATTTGTAGAAACATCCAATGTACACGATTCAAGTTCCATATGAAAGCTAACTTCAAGGGCTACAAATCATATGAAGACACCTTTGCGAGAATCTGAGAGGAAGGAGGTGAAAACAGACGATGAAGTCAGATGATCTCTGCTGCGATTTCAGAAAGACACCTTCCACCGTTTTGATCATATCTCTTGATTGGATGATTCACATCACATTCGGCAAATTGGGATGGATAGAGGACTTCATTATCTACAACTTTAATGAAGGAAGTTTTGTCAAATTCGGAAGTTAAGTAGGCGCGATCGTGCCCTCAAAGTCAGACACGATCGTGCGTGAAGAGAAAACACGGAGGAGTTACTGCCATCCAGGCACGATCGTGCCTGGAGGGAGGCACGATCGTGCCTGGAGGGAGGCACGATCGTGCCTGGAGGGAGGCACGATCGTGCCTGCCAAAAATGCGCGTTTTTGCTCCGGAGGCACGATCGAAGGCACGATCGTGCCTGGCATCGTGCCTGGCTCCAAAAATCCGAATTTAGCTCAAATTTCACCCGATTTTTCTATTTAAACCGCCTGTAAACCCCCGTTTTCAAGGGGGAGCTTAGAGAGAGTGCCTAGCACGAATTTTAGAGGGCTTTTCAGCCTTGTTCATCAATCTTTTGGGATTCTTTGTAAGTTCCACCTTTTTAATTAATGACAATTAATTCTTTTTATTCCAATTCTATTGATTCTTCAATTATGAATTGTGAGTAGTTTTAATTAGGGATTTGGGATTGATGAAGGGGTTAATCATGATGTATGGCTAGATTCTTTTCGGTTTAATTGCATGAATGCCGTTTAATTTGTGTTTGAAATATTTAATTGATATCTTTTGTAACCTAGAATCGCGACTAGAATTACAATTGCTTATAGAATAAATTAAGAGAGCTCTAATTTGTTCTAGGACACATTCACACACACTTAATCGTTCGCTAAGAGATTAGTAGCGATTAAGGGGCCGTAAGCTCGCTCGTCTTGGCAATAATTTAGGATCCTGTCGCATGAGAGATCAGCCTGGTCCCCTAAATTATTGTACTCTACGCCGCGAGAGTGGTAAGAACTTAGTAATGATTAGCTAGGCTCAATTAAATTAATTTCATGTAATTAGGCCTGATCTGCCAGAAATCTGGTTACCCCGGAATCGATCCCTGTTCCCTTCGTCATTAATTAGAAAGAACCCCCTAGGTTAATTGTTCGCATTAGTTTTTATTTTCCAAACCAACCAATCTCGCACGACGCTTTTATTTTATTTTCTTTTTAATCGCTGAATTTAATTAATTCTTGATTCCCTTTTGTCCGTCCCTGTGGAGACGATACTCGCACTTACACCACTATATTACGATCTATTTTAAGTGCGAGAAAACACACATCAATCTCCATGAGAATATATGTCTACAGCAGCAAGCGGCGAACTCAACAGCGCGCTTGAAGCAAGCACCGTGGTCAGCGACGCAGAGAAGGTGGGCTGCGCGGAAGGTGGGCTGCGCGGACATAGGCAGCAGCAGGCGGCGAACTCAACGGCACGCTGGAAGCAAACACCGTGTTCAGCGACGCGAAGGAGGTGATCTGCGCCATATTAGCCGCGCTCATCTTCAAAGGATCGAAGACTACCGTAAATGTGGCGGCAGTCAACCCCGAGGCGGCGGCGGCTATAATAAGGTTCATGGGAACCGAAAAAAGAAAAAAAAATTGTATCTACAAACCTAGAGCTCTTGATACCATGTGAAATAATGGGAAAGAGGTATTCCAATAGGAGTCCTGACAGATATATTTATAATAGAGGAGTTGCCAAAATACAAAGTATTCCTAAATATATATTAGACAGATTCCTAAATATCTATTAGGTAGATTCCTAATTATATTAGCCTATTAATAAGCACCAACTTTATCAGACTTGGAAGCACAGCAACCGGGATTTCCTGGCTCCAGGTAGCGGGCAGACCACGCTCCAGCCAAACGAGGTAGCTCTACCTTCTCCCAAAGCCAGTTGCTGCCAAGGATGAACCGCCAGAGAGCTCACCTCGCGGAACAGCAGCAGGGACCCACGTGGGGATGGAACTCGCACACCTAGCTACTTGGGGGATGGCCTCTGTTCACACATCACGTGGGGGGCCTACGCAGGAGACCGTATGTGCAGAGTTGCTGCCAGCTTGGGCCTAGCTGGATGAAGAACACCGACCTCCAGCAAGCTGGCCAGCGAACTAGGTTCGGAGGGGGCTTCCTGGAAGAACCCGCTAGATGATAAGCCAGACCCGTGCTTCAAGACTAACAAGGGATGGAAACAGTAGAGTTGGCAGGAGATGCAGAGGATAAGACAGCGACAAGACAACACCTGATTGATTAGACATATTCACTGTTATCCAAAATCATCCTTGGAAAATATGCTGTCTACACAACCTGGTACACACGGGTGTACACACACTTGTGTACACAACACAAAAAGCCCCACCCCCCTCTTTTCCATCCGTATAACCCATCCCCTTCCTCTTTTCTTTTTGTTTAGTAGAGATTAAAATTTCCTGAATTGAATAATGGCCGAGCGAGACTCCAGTGACAAGTCCATTATCATTACAAATTAAATGATTTGGTTTAAATGGGCCGACCAGCCAACCCGCGATCGGCTGAATGTAAGCGATCGGAGTGTCCCGAATGGTATTACTCCGACAACGCACCAAGTACTCATGCATTAAAGTATTCATTGGTTGATTAAATAGTATTCTTACTATTAATTGCACACACCATTACTTAATAGGGATTAAAAAAAATCCCGAATAAATTAATGCTGAACGGGGCTTTATGAACAATATCACCAACATTTTAATTAAATGTTTGGTTTGACTGCGTGTATCAGTCCACCCCCGATCGGGCCAAATTAATTGGCTGAAGTGTCCCCAATGACATGTTTTAATTTTGAAACCATTCATGGTCTCGTACGGCATTAAGTGCCTGAACGGCAACTATACCCAGTACGGGGCAAAATACGTACTTGAATACCCGACAAAACACTAGGTGGTTCGAGTCGTGGACTCTAACAGATCAAGAAATGAATCTAGGCCAAGGGTTATCATTACCGCTTCGGCCGATAGTCATGAATGAAAAATAAAGAATAAAAAGGAAATATTATACATGTGTAATTGTATATACTTGTATATGTTGTTCGGTCGTTCGGCCGTATTACCATGCTTACTGTGCAGTGAGATTCTTGAGATATTCTCGAATGGGAGGTCATGATGCACGTAGATGTTCATGACGATTCGGCATGAAGCGCGTAGACGTTCATGCCCGGCAACAAGAAAAGAATCACATTTATTCAAAGACGTTCATGACACACAGAGATGTTCATGACGTTCGACGTGACGCGCAGAGACGCTCATGATTGGCAACAAAAAGAAGGAATATTTACATTTAGAGTCGTTCGACCAGCTCGGACGTGGAGATTGTGAAACGCAGAGATATTCGTGGTTAAAAAAAAAGACTACTAGTGTATAGAAGGAATCATGGACGATTGAGAAAAGAAGGGACTACAAATGTATAGAGGTCACAACACATGAAGGGAAGTCATATGGACTGTACGATACACGAGCTTTCAGATTACGCTACCTGACTGGCAATCCGGCCTCCGCCGTTCGGCACCTAGAGCAACATTATGGGCAGAGGGCGCTTGTAAGACCCTCGGATTTACAGATCGGCCTCCCAGCGCTGACTTTCCTTTCACCACGACCGACCGGTTTTCCTGGCTCGGCGTGATGATCATTTGGAAGACCGTCTTCATCTCCGCTCCTCGCGGATGAGGACCGTTGATTATTTGTTTTTGATCGGGCCCCAGCGCCGACATCTTTACATGGACACCGACCCTCTGGTACGGTGCCATTATCATATTTGAAGACCGGCCTTGTCCCCGCACTGCGCGGATGAGGACCGTTGCTTGACTTTCAGCATGGCTACATTTTGTGGACCGCTGCCGCAGTTGCTGCCGCTGTCCTTGAGCAGAGGGCGCTCGCAAGACCCTTGGATTTATTGATGTTCTGCCCCACGGCATGACATTATTTGCTTTGGAGGCATCTTCACATTCCATGAAGTCTCACCTCGATCGATATATACCACTTGTCTCGATCCATAGGGAGCCATCATCTCAGCACAAAAAAAAAACATAAGGTGCAGGTTAACCAAGCCCGGACTCAGCTTGGGAGATGATGTAAAAGATCTTGAGTAGGATGAACCGGGCGGCATCCGAAAGCATAGGGTGACCGAGCGGGGATCGGGACTCTGGTCTTAAAATCTCGCCTTGGCTATGCAGCTCGCACGAACCTCGACGAAGTGATTCGTTGTGGTGGAACCCGAGCTGTAACCTGGAGGCGAGTCTCCATTGTGGCAGAGGATAAGGAGGTGACCCGAATTGGGAGCCTTATTCTCAATGGTCCAGAATGGACATCTCAACCCCCTAATATGGATGACCCCGGACGGTAGAACCGGACGGTATGCATCGGAATTATGGGTTTGGAAGATGGCAGGCATTACACGAATTGTGGAAGTGCCTTGCTACAGGGAAAACACAGATGATAACCCGAACAGGTTACATCAGCCTTTGGCCTACAAGGCAGCAGGCAGCAAGAACTAATGCCTTGCGAATCAGGAAACTTCGGATAGCCGGCGGAAATATACCGAACGGCTTGCACCTTAACCTTGGTGCTGGTTTCTGGGAGAAACAAATGACCCCGGACGGTAAAACTGGACGGTATGCATCGGAATTATGGGTTTGGAAGATGGCATGCATTACACGAACTGTGGAACTGCCTTGCTACAGGGAAAACACAGATGATAACCCGAACAGGTTATATCGGACTCAGGTTTGGAAGGCAGCAGACGTTAAACACTGATGACTTGCGTGTTCGAGGAACCACAGACAGCCAACGGAGATGAACCGAACGGCTTGCACCTGAATCTTGGTGCTTACTTGTGGCAAGTGAAAAAAAAAAAATCCATTGAGCAGAGGGCGCTCGCAAGACCCTTGGATTCATGATTATATTTTATGGACTGCTGCCGCTGTTGCCGCCATTGTCCATTGAGCAGAGGGCGATCGCAAGACCCTTGGATTCATATTATATTTTATGGACCGCTGTCCATTGAGTAGAGGGCGCTCGCAAGACCCTTGGATTTCCATACCGGCCTCTCCGCGCCGACGTTCCTCTCACCACAGCCGACCCTCCTGGCTCGGCGCGATGATCATTTTGAGGCATCTTCACACTCCATGGAGGATGATCTATTATCCAGATGATCTGACCGCTTCTGTAGCTCTACGATCAGCCACCTCGGCACGACGTGATCATTCGTTGTGCATCGGACCGTTCTAGTGGGACGAACGAGCGAATGGAACTATTGGTTTGATTGAGTCTCATTTCGGCCAGGGGAGAACGACCCGTTCGGCGAAGGCGAGCGAACGGGGGATATAAATTGGCTTGGAGGTGATGTGAATTCATGATGGCCCGCAGTGGTCTCGAGTCAAGTCCAGGTCTGTCTGAGTCGAGTCAAGTCCATGTCTGTCTGAGTCAAGTCCAGGTCTGTCTGAGTCGAGTCAAGTCCATGTCTGTCCGAGTCAGGTTCATCCATTCTTGCTCTGGGATGGCGACCGTCGCTCTTATGCAGCACGTACGGGCTCCATAGCACCGTCGTGCCTGGCTTTCTGGCGGGCTCGTCCATCCTTGCTCTGGGATGGCGACCGTCGCTTTTATGCAGCATGAACGGGCTCTATAAGCACCGTCGTGACTGGCTTTCTGGCGGGCTCGTCCATTCTTGCTCTGGGATGGCGACCGTCGCTCTTATGCAGCACGTACGAGCTCCATAGCACCGTCGTGCCTGGCTTTCTGGCGGGCTCGTCCATCCTTGCTCTGGGATGGCGACCGTCGCTCTTATGCAGCACGTACGGGCTCCACAGCACCATCGCGCATGGCTTTCTGGCAGGTTCGTCCATCCTTGCTCTGGGATGGCGACCGTCGCTCTTATGCAGCATGAACGGGCTCCGTAGCACCGTCATGCCTGGCTCTTGGTTGGTCTCGTCCATCCTTAATCTAGGATGACAACCGCCGTTTTTATGCAGCACGAACGGCTGGCTCTACAGCGGCGTTGTGCCTTCTTCTCGGTCAGGTCCACCCATGCCATTCAGGGTCGAGACCGCCGTCTTATGCAGCACGAGCGGCTAGCTCTTTAGCGCCGTCGTGCCTAGTGCGGGATTGCACCTCACTTATGGCTTATGCATGCCTTGAGTCCGAGATAATTCCAAGACTCTGATTCAGGGAAGGCAGGGAAGGACGTGAGCAGGATTATACTTTCTCGAGTAGATTTGCAGGCTCACTACTCAAGAAACTGGGGGACTTGTGTTGGGTATATTACCCCGGCCTACTACTGTTCAGAAGCCCAAGACACCGTCCCGGTACGGGGCCCGGTCCGTGAGGCTCGTTTAGGCCCCTCAGGCCCATTTGGAGCCATTTAGGCCTACTTGGGCCTGCTTTGGCCCATTAAGACCTTTTCGGCCCATTAGCATCAAAGGGTCACCATTACCTTCTATAAATAGGAAGCTTGGCTTCCAGGTTAAGGATCTCTCTCTGGCTCTTCTCCTCCCTATTACTTCTTCTCCCTCCTTTGTAAGTTAACTAGCAAATGAACTCCATTAATGGAGGTTCTACCCTTGTACTATGTAAATGAGTGATGGGAGGATATTAATAAAAAAGAGCGGGCTTGGACGTTAGCCTAAAAAGTCCCGTGGCTTTCTCCCTTTCCGGGTTTCCACGTAAAAATAGCTAGTTCATACACCTTTTATATATTTTATTTATGTTTATACCGAATCCATCGTCCTTAATATCCGAGGTTTATGTTGGGCTTCCAGATCTACGGGACAAAACCTCAACATGTGTAAACAACAAATTTACAATACATTTTTATTGTTGGGTTCATATACTAATTTCTTCTCGTTAGTTCTGGTACCGGTTTTATAACCGAAGGGCTCGTTATATCTTGGGGGAAATTTCCGCACGCCGGAAATAATTCCTTAGGACAGTGTATAACGCGTCTCGAGCCACTAATCTATTTTTAGTTCTTTTTAGTGATTATTTTGCAGGTCAATTAGCGGAGCTAGATAGTCAACGAGGTCAATTGAGTAGCAACACGGTCAACACGTTAAATTTGGAAGGATAGAGCCAACATTTCCTTGATGTTAGGCAAGGAAACCATAGACAAGCGACATATCGCACTGTTGCAGAGCTAATTTGCCATAAATATTTGGATGCTTCACAAAAACCTTATGCACCACGGCAAATCAGGGAAGACATGAATTTGGCCCATGGCATTTCCATGTCATATAAGAAATCCTGGAAAGCTCAAAAGTTAGCAATGCAAAAGCAATTTGGATCAGATTTAGAGTCTTATCAAAAACTACCATCCATGGCTTATATGCTTGACAAGGCGAATCCGGATTCTATGATTTCTCTTACAATAGGTGATGAGGATGAGTTTCGTTACTTTTTTATGTCTCTTGGACCTTGGCGGAAGGCGTGGGATTTTTGCAGACCTGTTTTAATTGTAGATGGATCATTTATGAAGGCATACTACAAGGGGACACTACTAACAGCTTGTGGACAAGATGCTAACGGTCATATTGTCCCCTTAGCTTTTGGAATTTGTGACTTCGAATCCAAAGCCTCGTGGAATTGGTTTTTTACCAAAGTCAGAGAATCCCTAACCTTTCGACCAGATATGTTTATCATATCTGACAGACATGAAGGCATTCTCAGTGCTGCCAGGAAGATTTTCCCTCATGCTCTTCATGGATATTGTGTGGCGCACCTTCGGCGGAACATGATTCCAAAGTTTAGGGGCTCAGGTAAGAATTTAGGCTGGAAATTCAAGGCTGCATACAATGCTGCGACATTGAAGGAATATGAGGAATATATGTGCTTATTGGATTCTGAAGATGTTCGTATACGACCTTGGCTTGAAAAGATTGGCATTGAAAAGTGGGCTAAGTGCATGTCTGGTCCTAGGAGATATGATGTGATGACTTCAAACTGTGCTGAATCTCTGAACAATGTCAGTGTTTCTGCAAGGGAATATTCTATATCCAAACTTGTTGATTTCCTTAGGGAAAGGATGCAGTTGTGGTTCACTGAAAGGAAGGAAAGCGCCGAGAAAGCATGCACTATTTTGGCAACGAAACGTGAGAAACATCTTGTGGAGCTTCAACGACAAGCTAGCAGGATGCAGGTAATGGATTATGTTTAGATTTTGTACCATTCAGTTTGCGTCAAACGAATAATGCATTTTATTTGTCTTTTGCTTTTTCTGTTGATATTCAAAACTTCCATATTAATGGCAATTTGGCTAAGTCTGCACACGATTCTGCCATGTTGTCCAGACTACTCTCATAACAAGTATTAACATGCATTCAGCCATGTTGTTTAGACAATCTTTTCATTGTCATATTAACAAATATTTTGAACTTAATGCAGGTCAAGCCAGCGTCTTATACAGAGTTTGAAGTTGTGGATAGACATTGTCGCTCATTTCTTGTTGACCTTAATGCCAAGACATGCAGTTGTGGGGTGTTTCAATTGTCTCACTTTGTTTGTGTGCATGCCGTTGCTGCTATTGGTACCCGCCCTGCGATGTCATGTTACACTTATATATCGCCATATTACACCCGAGATTACTGGCTATCCACTTGGAATGGTGTCATGCACCCTATATGTGATGCAGAGTCTTGGTCGGTTCCTTCACATGTTTTAGATGTTCGTTGCAAGCCACCTTCGTGTTTAAAACGCCCACCTGGTCGTCCTAAGAAGTCGAGAATTCCATCTATTGGCGAGCATCGGGGAATCAAGCGTCGGAAATGTTCTCGTTGCCATGCTCTTGGTCACAACAAAAAAACTTGCCGCAATCCATTGACCATGTTAAATGACTGATGTATTTTCTTCTGTTTCTGTTTTGTTACGAATATTTTTTATAATGCATTTCGTTCCTTTATTACGAATACACACTCTTTTATCCCAATATTCATTATTTCAAAGCACCATTAATTTATGTTTTGATTTGCTTCCTTACACTACCTGTCAACACGATGTTATTTGTAAAAGTATTTACATTTTTTCTTTGCAAAATTCACAATCTCAACATTAGGCAAAATATTAAGCACAAATATTCTTCTACAATTTTTTTCCCTAAAAAGTATAAAATCTGCCATTAGCGCGCCATGAATGTCAAATACTTGGCATAGGTGTTATTCCACATAATGTATTCACGTTTAAATGAGCAACCCATGTGCTATACTAATACCAATGTCAAATAGTTGTAATAAAAACTCATCTACTTGACTAACAATTATTCCACTGTCATCTCACGAATGTCAAATACTAGGCATATACATTTTTCATCACAATGGATTCATAATGAGTACCACGAATGTTAAATACTTGGCGTTAAAATTGTACTTAAATGCGAGTTTGAATTAATTTACGGCATAACATATAATGCCAAAGTTATGCCACATATTCTACCACACATGTTTGCACAAACAATGTGTTCCTTTTTCCATTCATATCATAAGTGATAACACTTCAAATTCAAACACGTGTCCATTCTGATTGTAAACAAAACAAAGACATATCCCACAAATCCAGGACAACAAAAACATAGTACAATCACAATACTAAAATAAAATTACTATGTCTCCCTCTCAAATAAAATCAAAAGCATAACAAACAAATATCCAAAACACATCATTTGACACAAGTCTCAACAAGAACATTTCTGCTATTGAGCTTTCGGTTTTCCTTCTTTCATTACACAGTCTTCTTTGACCTCCCCTTCCTTTGCTCTTCTTCCTCCATTCTTTTTTTGTTATACAACACTAACTCGGTTGTCATTTTTGCTCTATACTTGGCCATGTCCTTTGACTGAACCTCTTTCACATCTTTCTTCATCATTAAAAACTCTGCAAACTTCAATACGAACATTCCACAGTTGCCCCTGCAATTATAACCCCCAATTAACAACATAGTCATCTTTTTCTTACATTTAATTACTCAAAATATTTAAAATGTTTGTATTCAAATGGAGCACATGTCAAATTTACCCGTCATCCTGTTGTGGGCAGCCCACAGCTTCTAACTCTAACTCCTTGTCACCCATACGCTCATATCCAATTTCTTCATAAACACCATGCACGTCCATGATCTTAGGAAGCAACCACCGCATGCTGGGTATATAAGGTCTAATGTCTCTTAAACTTTCAGGTCTTCTGCTTTTGGAATTGTAAACCCGTATTTTTCTTTTTTTAACTTCCAAAACAACCAAAACCCAGTGGCTTCCAGTGTTAAGAGGTAGGTAAACAAATTCAGATTCTGACCAACTTCTAGCAAATGGTGAAGCACTACCTTGAATGTCATCTTCAATTACCGCAATGTTTGCTGCTTCTTGAACTGTAAACTCACCTTTCTGTATCTTTTCATTCTCACGCCTTAGCATTTGCAGAAAATATGGCCCACTAGTGCTGTACGGGCTCTGCACCTTGAATTGGAATTGTTTCACATTCAAGTAATACATCCCTACATATACATGCTGCCATAACAAAAAATATAAACAAACCTATCACCAAATATCCACAGAAGCATTTATATTGCTAAAAGATTAGGACAGAAACATCACCATATCGTCCAGCCATTCTGGATTCACATGCAACTTGTATAGCCAAGTTTTTGACTCGATTTTGGCCACATCCAAAATAAACGGAACACCACGCATGTTTTCCTCTTCCTTACGATATTTGCTCGCACCGCCTTTCATTGACAGCCTCTTCAACAGACCAACTTGAATGTATTCTGCCACATTCTTCATTTCTTCTTCCGGAGGGCACTCAGTTGGATCTTCTGCAAACGGTCCATACTTTCTTGCCGGTAAAAATTGGTCTTCTTCAGTTCTTTTTGCTCTTTCCTTCCGTCTCCTCTTTGCCGCTGCTCTGGACTCTGCTGGTGTATAACGATCCGGTGATCTTGCACTGCGTTTTGGCCTTCCAGTGGGTGCACCCGGGATCTGTACCTGCATGGTAACAAACAATATACATAATCAGATGTACCAACTATTATTCCACTTTTATGTGTTCACATTCACAAATATATTGCACTGCCACTTACACTTTTTCCCTTTTTCAGTGCTGCATCCACGCTTCCATTTGCTCTCTCTTCATGGACCTCAACCTGCATGATAACAAACAATACACATAATCAGGCGTACCAACTACTATTCCACTTTTATGTGTTCAGATTCACAAAAATATTGCACTGCCACTTACACTTTTTCCTTTTTTTAGTTCTGCCTACACGCTTCTATTTGCTCTCTCTTCATTATCTACACTTACTTGTTCGGGCTTCTGTAATGGCACGTGTGCATTATGCTATAACAAAGAATTATTATCAATTACTAATTAAATTTGCAATTACAATAGCACGGTGTTTTATATATTAACTCAAATTAAAACAGCCAGAGATCTTTTTATTTACCTTCTCTATTGCACTATTCTCTTCTGCAATTTTCTCCCCGAAAACACGCTTCTCCACTATATCCGCAGTCGTGATCAATTCGGTCACAAATTGTGTGCTCAAATCTTCCAAACATTCTTCCTGTACATCCTCTCTTCTCCTAACACTTTTTTCCACATTACTAATCCCTTCTTGTTGGCATTCTTTATCTTTGCGTCCCACTTCTCCCATTTTTTGGACTACTCCATTTTCTGCAATTTCTTGTTCTTCCTGGAACCGTTCTTGTGTCTGTGGGCCAAAGATATTATAATTTGGCATGCTGCTAATTGGTGCACTGTCATCTTCTGCACATGAACTATCTTCTGTTTCATCCACCTCTCCACCCTCTAATTCTTCTTCCCCTTCTTCCGCGCTCTCGTTTTCTTTGTTTTCCTCGCTTCCATCTTCACTCTGTGTCTCTTCATTCTTCTTGCACGTTATCCATGCGCGATAGTATACGTTTCAGCAACGTCTCGTGCCTCTTCTGTGCTTTCCTGACTTCCCTCAGTTCTGCCAATATCTTGTCATTACCCTTTCCAACTCTTCGGACATTTCTCAAAGTCACGTCCACCTTTCTGCCACTTCCAAAACCCACTCTTCCATCATTATCCTCCTCAGATTCATCATTTGCTTCTATGGAATTATTCTTCTTCATATCAGTTGCTGCCTTTTTTCCTTTCTTGATCTTCCCTTTTTTTTCAACTACCTTCACTCCCTCAACCCTAACTCCACGATCAATTCCCAGCTGGTTTATCTTCTCAGATTCTTGGCTTTCATGGCATACTAAATTTGGAAAATTTTCAATTTCCAAATTTGTGGCTTCCATCTGCTGCCACTCAAACTGCATAAAAAAAATCAATTAGTTGTTCATCATATTTATATCTAGTAATAATAAACAGAGGCAATAGTCATACCTGTTCATTCTTGAAAATTATGTTGCTCAAGGTTTCCATAGATGGTTTCTTAACAAATGACCACCTCACTGCCCTTGGTATTCGCGTCTCTCGCCCTTGAATGAGACTGCATATTCCTTCTTTTGCCAGCCCTGTGAAGGTCTCAAATGCCCACACTTGAATGGCAATCAAACAACCTGGCAGTGTAACGCGATCCCCCTTGCATTTCTTTAAACTCTTCGGATTAGCCCTCATATTAGCCACTAGCTCACTCCAAACATCATCCCCCCATGGATATTCATTAAATTGTTCTAAATTGTCTACTAAATTCACGTAAAGTGCTGGTAATGCCCTTGCCACTTGGTTGCCAAAAAGACCATTTGACAGCACATGGAGTAGTGCAAGTTTAACTCCATCATTTTTTTCAACTCCAGGGTCATCAGTGTTGTAATTCAACAACGCATTTTGGCAATCACTTCTTTTCACCCAGGTTGTGTTTCCAAAATACTTTCTCCACAACTCCCCCCTGAAATTTTCGTCTATCGCTGGCTTCTCACCTCCAAATTTTAAACCCAAGACCATGCACAAATCTTTTTTTGTAAAACTAATCATGCTGTTCTGAATGTGAAAGTTTATGGCATTTACCTCTTTGATGTCATTCACCTTTTTAACGTAGTTGCACAGAAAGCCGAGATGTAGCTGTCCACTGATTGTTCTCATGTCTTCCACATCTAACACCCATCCGAATATAGTCCTCCTGAATTCAATCAACTCATCATCTTTCAGTTGTTTCTTTATCCTTTCCACCACCTTGCTCAAATTGCAATAGCAATTTATCTTCATGCTTTCAATATTTTCCACCTGCTTTTGTCCAAAAGCTCTCCTTATCACCTGAGGTATGCAAATATATCACACTCACGTTCATTTCAATATCATGCTAACAATGACACAACCAGCTCATGTCAAATATTTGGCATACATATCATTTCATAACATATATTCAGACCTCAGAAATTTGAAAATGGCAGATTATCACACCAATTGAAAGTGCATAACAATTTTGCCTTTTGTAAACTTTAAAATTAGTCTATTTGGCAATAACAGTCTTATACATAATTCATTCACATTGCTCCAAATTTAATTTAATTTAATTCATTAAATTGTTCCAACTTTATTCCTAATAACAAAAGAAATCTGCCACTAAAAGCCTATGAATGCCAAAAAAAATTTGGCATAACTGCCATTTTAAACCCACGGATGTCAAATATGACAAATAAATATTCTTCTACCAAATTTCTTCTTAAATACAAAAGAAATCTACCACTACAAGCCTATGAATGTCAAGAAAGTTGGCATAACTGCTTTCTGCACAAGAGTATTCACTTGTAAGTGACCAACAATCTGCCATTTTAAACACACGGATGTCAAATATGACAAATAAATATTCTTCTACCAAATTTCTTCTTAAATACAAAATAAATCTGCCACTACAAGCTTATGAATGCCAAAAAAGTTGGCATAACTGCTTTCTGCACAAAAGTATTCACTTGTAACTGACCAACAATCTGCCATTTTAAACACACGGATGTCAAATATGACAAATAAATATTCTTCTACCAAATTTCTTGTTAAATACAAAAGAAATCTGCCACTACAAGCCTATGAATGCCAAAAAAGTTGGCATAACTGCTTTCTGCACAAGAGTATTCACTTGTAACTGACCAACAATCTGCCATTTTAAACACACGGATGTCAAATATGACAAATAAATATTCTTCTACCAAATTTCTTGTTAAATACAAAAGAAATCTGCCACTACAAGCCTATGAATGCCAAAAAAGTTGGCATAACTGCTTTCTGCACAAGAGTATTCACTTGTAAGTGACCAACAATCTGCCATTTTAAACACACGGATGTCAAATATGACAAATAAATATTCTTCTACCAAATTTATTCTTGAAAACAAAAGAAATCTGCCACTACAAGCCTATGAATGTCAAAAAAGTTGACTAAGTACTTGACTACGTACATCCAATTCACTAAAAAATCTGCCATTATCATATGCCGAATGCCATTATTCTACAAAAAATATTCATTTTGAATATTATCTTTGCCATTACCTTAATACGAATGTTAAATACTTGGCATAAATTAGTACAAGTTCTTCCATTTTCAATTTATGCAAAAATAATAAAAAAAATTCCATCTTTAGGGCAAAATCAATTCCAAATGCCTTAGTTTCATTCCATTTTTTTGTTTCACTTTCTAGAACAAATAATGGCATACCATTCCATTCCAAAAACACTTCAACGCACCGTAGACACATTTCACTTGGTGAACATGTGGAAGAAAACCATTAATATTGGCAAAAATACGTACCAGGTTGGATTTCCGTCGCCCTTTCATCCGTTTGTTGCTCTGTTTATGACCATCTTCATCCATCGGCATGACGTCTTCCATTCCCCCGTTGTCCAAGCTCTAGGTTGCGCTTCTCTCTCGAAAAAATTGAATTTGGAACAAGAGTAACAGGCTGGAGTAAATTGGGAGTTGCGTTAGTATCTTGATTCCCGAGCCGTGCGCCGGAAAATTTTTCCATAATAATTGCCCTACAACCGTTGCATAAATTTTCGCCCCCCATTATCGCACGATGTCTTCCGAGTTTTCCGATAGCTTCCGTCCGCGTTATACTCAATTGATTATAGATGAGGGATAAAAGTGGAAAATCAGCCCTTTTTAGTCATACGAATTATTGATTTTTTTCCTAGTCCTATTTGTGCACATCCTATTAATATTAGTCCTATATAGGTCATTAACTCTTGTTTAAGCCGGACTCTACACATATATATAGGTAGTATCACATTCACACATTATAACTTATAAGCTTGTACAGTTGTTCTCGATTAAAGTGCTAAAATATTTGGGAAATAATGATCAACGATTCAACGGGTCTCCTTCAATTATCCTAGAATGTAGAATTTTGGAACAATATTATCCCAGTTGATGGCTTCTCAAATAGTCCATGACAATCAAGGAGTTGGGATTTTTTTTTTTTAATAATATAGAAATTTCTACATATACATGATTTAAGTCAACCCATGAAAGGGTAGATAAATAGAAAAACAGGCAAACAACATTGAAGTATTGAACTAATGTGATATGCGTACTTGGAGTATTTGTTATTTACTCCACATTTAAGTCACTAATATGATAGATTTAAAGAAATCAATAAGTTGGAGTAAGAGTGGACAAATCGCATTTGTTCACAAAACTGGTTGGAATTTAGACATTCTTTTTCATGGAGAAAAATATAAAGACTTTTTAAACCTAACTCAAATTTAAGGAATGCATGATCTATTTTACATTTAGGCACGTCTAATTGGTAAGGAAAAATCTATTTTAATCTTTTCATGATATATTTTTAATAAAGGTAACATAGCAAACAAACTTAATTGGCAATAAAATTGTGCAACCTTTTTAGTTAAGCAAGCATGTTAAAGACCTGATCCATAGGTGATAGGACTGCATTTCCATGCTTGAAAATAGGGAAACCAAGTTTTAAGCTACAGCCTACAAATGGTCATCCACTCGTCCCTTATAGCAGTACACTATTCATTCACAAGTAATGTAATGAGCAAGTGATGTTGCTCAAATACATATAAAACCAAAAAGAAGGACAAAGTAAGATGAAATTTGAGCACATATATGTATGTAGGTTTGAATCGCTGACAAAATGAATTGATCAAAGAGGAGACCAAACTATGGTCGGCAAAACAAATATTCAACTTAAGCATGGTAAGTAGGACTGATTAGGAACCTTTTTTATATTTCTAACCTGAAAAAAATATCAAAGGGGTAAATCACAGGAACTCCATGTGAAGTATTCTTCTAATAACATGTAAGTAAATAAGTCAATAAATTCCTTATAAGAACTTAATTAATTAACTTTTGTGCCTCTGAGTGTTGGGCAAGCTCTCGATTTACACTGCTTTACATAAACACCTTCACCAGTAGCACATCAACCTTTGGTATATAGTTGATATAGGTATCTGTTGATGGCCAAATTCATACAACTCCAGTATCTGTAACAAAATAAATGTTCAAATCACTTACTGTTGTCAATCAGACGTGCAAAATCTGGATATGTAAAAACATGTGAATGGCACATTTAATTATTTTAACTTTTTTCTACTGTTGGGGCAATATAAGTACAAACTTGAATAGATACATTGATGGAAAATGTCATCTTTTTAATAGACTAATAGACCCCCCCCCCCCCCCCCCCCGAGATAGAGGTAGAGAGATAGATAAACATCAATGTTTCAAGAAGAACAAAGCTACATATTAAAGTCACTCTTTTGCCAATGATAGAATTATTAAGAGAAAAATGAGTACAATTAATTTTTAGAGCTATACAAAAACGAATTAGGCATATTATATACTACGTATTTACTATAATAACATGAACATAAGGCATGAACAAATAGTAACTAAGATGAGGTAAGTGCTACTTTTCACGTACATATCTATACTTTCTAACTTTTGCGTGATGAAGTCCCTACAAAAAAGACATTTAAAGTGTCACTTAAAATCAAAAGATAGTGATATTTGATTCACAACCAATTATAAATCTCAAGCATTTAAAAAGTACTTAGAATATGCATACAGCTCATGAATATACTATCAAAAAGTTCTGAAAACATTTCAATCGGTTAAAAATATACAGAGTGTATGCAAAACTTCGGGCAATAATTATTTCCCGCTGCCCGCATACAATATAAGGAAATAGAAATACAAATAAAAGAGTATAAATTTACCTCTACCAGAGAGCAGGTACACACCATGGAAGTGGCCTAGCTATTTTCTTTTCTAGAGATGCGCCGTAGTAGCAACTCACTTTTATCAATAAACTTGTTAGACCCCAGATTTTGATGAACTGTTTTTGATGATGCCAAAAGCTTTTGTTATCCCCTCTCTATTGTAGTATTATAGGAGTCTTGGTTATCCTCTTTTGTAACATCTGGCAGTTGTCTAGTACTAAGAAAGTTATCTGATGTGTCGTGCTCCTTTTAGGACGGTTAACAAATAAATATAACTGGAAAACCATAAAATGCAATAAGGCAATATTGTATTGCCTCAAAAGGATATTGTATAAATCCAACCAGTTAAATTTATTTGTTACACACAATAACATCTCGCACAAATAAACTATCTATTTTAACTGGAAAACAAAATGCAATAAGGTAATTTTACCTTAATAGGAGTTGATATCCTACCAGTTAAATATTTAGCTTATCATGTTCGAAATACTAGATAAACCATACACTCAGAAGAAGAGTTCTTGATATTCTGTTCACTACAACAAATAACAATGTAAATTCTATATAACAAAAAGAACACACTGGGATTCAAAATGAAATAAGGTAAAGTTGTCTTTATCTTGAAATTGGATATTTAAATCCAACCAGTAAAGTGTTATTTGATATATAGATAAATCAAAGTGAACAAGAATAGTGAACAACTAACTGGAACATAAAATGCAATAAGGTAATAACTTTTACCCTAATAGGATTTGTTATCCTACCAGTTAAGTTGTCCACAATACCTGCTAAACTTCACAAGTACTTAAAAGTGACAAGACTTCCAATGTACAAACTATGTATCAGATTAAACATACTGGAACGATAAAATGCAATAAGGTGAAAATTATTTACCTTACATGGATATTTAGATCCAACCAGTATAGCTTTAATTTGGTACATAAGTTTAATCATGTCACTTAAAGAAAGAAAGTGATTAGTAAAATAAGTGACAAATTTTACTGTGAAATTTGTAACAAATAAATTGTACTGGAAAGAACAAAATGCAATAAGGTAATCTTATTACCTTAATAGGATATTTCAAAGATCCTACCAGTACAAAACTTATTTGATACAAAATATTCTAAGTCACACATTTTACTACTTCACTACACAAAATTGAGCAGGTTCACGCACTCAGCTTTACAAGTGTAGTTGCAAGACAAGGCCAAAACACTCAGAACGCAAGAGGAGAGAAGACATCTGATTAAGTGAATAGTGAAGAGTTTCAGAATAGGCATGCAGCGATAAGAAGGCCTAAGGTATGGGTGCTATCTTCGTACAAAGCAAGTGGTCTTCAAAAGACAAATCCTTATCCTGCTCCAACACAAGAAGACGCAAGTACAATACTTTGGACGTCTAGGATTAAATCCTCTTAACCAACGGAGGAGATTAATCTACCGGAGATGCCTATAAAAATAGGCAGAAGCATGAGATCAAAGGCAAGTCATTGAGTTCAAAGCAAGTGGTTCAGTCATTACACTACGCATATCCAGCAAAAGAAAAAG